CCTACACACCGAGCCACTCCAAGGACCTAACCACCGAGCCCCTCCACGCACCTACTGACCGAGCCACTCCAAGCACCTACCGACTGAGCTACTCCAAGCACCTATCCCGCCCGAGCCACTCCAAACACCTATACCGAGTGAGCTTCTCCAAACATCTATACCAACCGAACAACACCAAGCACCTATACCGACCGAGCCACTCCAAGCACCTACCGACCGAACCACTCGAACCACCTACCCACCGAGCCAACCCAACCACCAACGCACCGAGTCACTCCAAGCACCTACCCACCGCGCCACTCTAAGCACCTACCCACTGAGCCACTCCAAGTAGTTATACCGACAGGGCCACTCCCAGCACCAATATTGATGGAGCCACTCCAAGCACCTATACCGGTCGAGACACTTCGACCACCTATCGACCACGCCACTCCAAGAACCTACCGACCAAGCCTTTCCAACCACCTACCCATCGAGCCTCTCCAAGCAGCTACCCATCGAGCCACTCCGACTGATGCACTCCAAGCACCTACGCCCACCGAGGCACTCGAAGCACCTACTGACCAAGCCATTCCTAGCATGTACCCACCGAACCACTCCACGCACCTACCGACCGAGCCACTCCAAGCGCCTACCGACCGAGCCACTCACTCGCATACGGACCGACCCACTCCACGCGCCTACCGACCGAGCCACTCCAAGCGCCTACCGACCAACTACTCCAAGCGCCTACCGACCGACCAAATCACTTAAAGTGCGTACAAAGCAAGCCACTCCAAGCGCCTACCAACCGAGCCACTCCACACATGTACCGGCCAAGCCACTCCAAACACCTACCCACCGAGCCACTCCAAGCACCTACCCACCGAGCCACTCCAAGCACCTACCCACGGAGCCACTCCAAGCACCTACCCACTGAGTCACTCCAAGTACCCACCAAGCCACTCCAAGCACCTTCCAATCGAACCACGACAAGCACCTACGCACCGAGCCACTCCAAGCACCTACCCACCCTGCCACTCCAAGTTCTTATTAACCCAACGACTCCAA